TCTAAAGGTTCAAGCAGTTCGTCGACTGACGTTTTGGTTTATTGTTGTTTCTCGCTTTCTCCGTTTTTTTTTTGCGTTAAGAACCACTCGCTAGATGTGGGTTTCCGTAAAAGCTTTTCTGCGTCGACGGATGTGGGTTTCCGTAAAAGCTTTCAGATTTTAGGCAGGGCTTGCGTGTTCTCCAATGGCAGAGCTCGAATCCTGCGCTAACTTAGTTAATACTTCTGCATTTTGTGCTAGAAGTCGAGGGTGCTCTCTAGAATTTTCTGTTCCTTCTGCTCCATTGAGATGTGAAGAACTGGGAATTAAACCAGAGGATGCTAGTGTCGCAGATATTTTGGCCGAGTTGCAGAGGGAGCGTCAGAAAAATGCAGAACTTATGGAGAGGATATCCTTATTGGAAGCTCAAATACAGGAGAAGAATAAGGCATCGCTACTCACAGATGGACAAGTAATGATTTGATTACCAAAAATCCATTTCTGAATTTCTACTGCTATTTTTATATTGCCCAGTGCACTTGTTTTGTCTGTATCTGTAACTAACGTTTCCTTCTCTTTTGTTTCTCTTTCATTAATCGACTATATCATGTAGAATGGCATACATCTTAATTCATTTCTAAGACAAATACACAATAAATATATTATTATTTTAACGGATCCTTCAAACATTATTATTTTCTTAGTGGGTACCATTGAAACATTAGCATACGTGATTGCATTGTATATGTAAGTTCTCAAGGCATTCTTGGGAAGGATTTTCTAGGTAGAAATAAAAATTTTTACGAGATCTTCAGTGTAACAGTGAGAAGTCCTATAACAGAAACTCCCAAGCAAAAATTTTTACGTGATTGCGTTGTATGGTGATTTGCCTGAATCTCTTGTGCATATTCAGATAGAAGATTGGTTGGTCTATACAAAACAAACAGATTAGCTCAAGCTCAGGCATTCTTGTGCATTTTGCTTGGGAGTTTTGTTTGAGTTGTGTTCATCTATTCTTGGGTTCTCTTGAAGACTTTCTTTTTTATTCTTTTGGTAAACCATCCCTTGTCATTTTGTTTTTGTGTCTCCTTTCTCTGTGTATTCTTCCTGTATTTGGAGTGAACAAAACCCAAATCTGGGTTTTAAATGACAAATTAAGTAATTTACTAACTTAGGAGAGAACCTTTTGAAAAGAAATTGGCACCAACAAAGAAAGGAATTGGAAACCATGCACAGTGATGTCTTGCGTTTTAAATACTCTGCATCATTGTTCAATAACATTTGGGTTTAATTTTTATGCCAATGGATTCGTGCAGAGATAATATGAATCAAAGGTTAATAATAGATCAAAATTACCTTCATACACCATGACCACGATAACTACTGATAAAAACTTGCGTTCTCCTGATGTTGGAGGATTTTGCCCAACATGTTTAGATATGCAAATAAAAAAGGATTAGTTTAAAAAACAAGGCTAGGAAACTTCCCATATGAGAAAAATATCTACATCTGTCTGGCTCTAGCTTCAATCTGGTGTCAGAATACAAGACTAGAACAAGGAACTATATCGATATTTCCCTATATTCCATACTTTCACAATTTAAGTCCATCATTGGCATTTCTGAAAAGAAAATGCCTTCTTCAGGAAGTCAAAGATATTTGTGGGTAAATTCAGCATACCTTGGACGTTGTTTGTTTATACATTGCTTAATAAAAAAAATTCGAGACCACAGGGTGACCATAATGAATATTCATTTATGTCACCTTGAGATTGTTAAATCTGTAAATGTCCTCCTTTCTCAGGATAATTACAGTGAGATGTTCTCCTTACATGATTTTCTTTCTTCAAAATCAAAATTTTGTAATATTTAGTGATTTCTATAATATTATTGTTCAGTACTAATTGAAGCATAGTCATATATCTTTCTCGTAGTTGAGTTAAAATGGTTCTTATATATTTTTTATTTCAGTTTTTCTTATTGACTGATGAAGGTTGTTCTGTCATTTCTTGCATCCCAGGATGGTTGCCATGGTGCAGCAGAGAGAAGTTTTAAGAAACTCAGGAGACAACTGATAGAACATGACAAAGTTGAAGATGCAGAGATTGCAGGAAGTCCTTTGACTGCACAAATAAAGCATGATGTTCCATGCAGGGCCATTGAGGACAAAAATGAACAGGAACACCTTGTAAATTGGATGAGCATGGATGAGACACAGTTTCTTAATACTGAAAAATATAAAGATGTTGACTATGCTGCAGATCATGAAGATACCGATGACAGTGATGATGAGGATGATGAGTGCTATGATGAGGATGATATTGATATTGATGATAAGAATATGCATAATGATGGCAATTCACTAGCTACAGGCATATTGAAAAGGCATCTCCATGAAAGTACTGATGGGGAAAAACAAATATCATGCTCAGGAAGGACCCCCTGTGTTCAGAGCCAACCGACAGATCCAAATTCTAGCCAAGAGATAAATGGCGATCAAAACAAAGGCTGTTTATTAACCGATACAGAAATCATTAATAACAAGAAGGAAAATAGAAGGCATTACAGGAAAGAAAATAAAAAGATTGGAGGTTATAAGACATCATCAGAAATCCATAGCTCTGGGCATGAGACTGGGCAAAAAGGATTTGGAAGCAGTCCATTGCACAAAAAGCCCCCAAAGGTAGCCTTTTGTCCGAAAGAAGTCAAGAGAATAATCGAGTCAGATGTACTTTTGTTGAAAAACGCTCAATCCCACACCATTCGGAAGATTGTTGTTTTTGCATCTCTTGGCATAAGGCATGGGTGTGAAGATATGTATGAACTAGATTTCAATCATTTTAGCATACTGAGGAAAGGAGAGCCATATGTTTCTCCCAAAAATCCCGGGGTAAGCATTTCTATTTTGTGGTTTACTTGCAAATCATTTATCAGCATAATGCCAACTTAGATGATTTATGGGAGTAAACATTCTTATTTCATGATACCAAGTGGCATCACAATACTTAATCATGGTGTTATTGTGTTCTATTGCAGAATGCTACCCTTGGTTTTTCTTGATAACCATCCATGAGATCAACCTTGCATATAATTATTTATTTATTGAAAAAGGGTAAAGTATGATTGTATTAATAAAAGGTCCTGTGTACAATGAGAAGCTGTAGAAAACAAAGGACCTCAAAAAAAGCCATTCTCAAAAAAGTATAATCAGAAATACTATCTCTAAAAACAGTATGTATAGACACCCAACTTCTCAAAACCTCTATTGCCAAGTTAATGACCTCGGCTTCAGTAGTAGATTTTTTCTCAAAAATCCTATTGTTCCTTTCGGACCATACAGCCCACAGAACTGCTGGAGGGATGGAAGTCCAGCGTAACTTTCCTTTCTTAGACAGTCCCTGGATATGCCACTTCTCTAGCAGAGCTCTAACTGAGGCCGGCATGCACCAGCTTAGATTCAGGGATTTGAAGAAGTGTGACCAAACTGCAGAACTAAACTTGCAATGAAGGAAGAGATGCCTGGATGGTTCTACTTGCATATTGCAAAAACAGCACCTCCAATCTGACAGATTAAGACCTTTCAGCAGCATTTCTTTGGAAAAACACCTCTCCAGTGCTGCCACCCATATAAAAAACTTGACTTATGAAGAAGCCAAATTCCCCCAAATGGCCTGACTGGGAAAAGGGGCTTCAGACCTTCCCACAAGAAAATTGTAGCAGGATTTGACTGTGAAATCTCCAGATTTTGACCATTTTCAAACTGTTGAATCTTGCATCTGAAAATTTAGTTGTTGGTCTTGTAACAGATTAAGTACCAGAGGGAATAACAGCATCCCGTCCATTGTTCCTTAAGCCATATTTCTCCTCAATCCCCTTCCTCCAGAGTTTGTTTGGTTCAGATGAAAACCTCCACAGCCAGCTTCCCAATAGGGCAACTGGGCAAGGTTGAATAACTTTAGGTTTCTTATTCCTAACCCACCCTGTGATGTGGCTTGCAAATTTGCTCCCAGCTCACCAAATGGTACTTGTGAGAGTCTTTCCAGCCTTTCCAAAGAAAATTTCTTTTCCTTTTTTTTTCCATTTCCTTTGCTACCTCTGAGGGAATGGGGAATAGGCTCATATAGTTTTTTATTTATTGTTTCTTAAAGTTGTCGATAGGTGGCAATATTTATCTTTTAACATTTCTAGCTGGATAGCTGTTTGACAGGTAGGATTAGTTTCTCTCAGAAACATAATGTCCACGTATTGTAGTGGGAACATGTTAATCAAATGCATTTTCTTGCTGACCCCTATGTTCATTTATAAATATCAACCAAGTTCCTTTATTAAATCAGGAACATGTTTTATATGAGCATCGTGGTGTCCAAAGGAAGGTCTTCTATCCAAATCGACATAATCCTACACTCTGTCCTGTTAAAATACTTGAGGAGGAGAAGGCTATGAGACCATCTGATCCAAGCTGCCCATCTTGCTTGTTTCTTTGCATTAAATATGGAGGGAGGACAAGAAATCTACCCCAAAATGAGTAAGTATGACTCTTTACCATGTCTTTTCTTGATCACTATCACAATGTTATCTTTGGCATTTTATACATAGTTGAACCACCATCATCTTGTCTTTCTAGTTGCTTTAGTCTCTAACAGGCTTTCTAAAATTAGCAAATGATCCTTCTTAAACGAAAACCATGACACTTGAAGAGTTTTCTGTATATCTTTAAATTTATAGGAAATAGTCAACTTAAGTGAGAGAAGCTAAAATATATTATTCAACTTTTAGTTGGTCAAGGTCATATTTGTGAAAGCAAATTGTAAAGACAATCACAAATGTTTCTTTGTGTGTTCTTACATGCATTTCAAGGATTTGATGTTTGGAATTGTTCACTGATTCCTTTTCTAATTAGCCAAGAGACACAGATGAAGATATGTTCAATGTCAATAAATGCTTTCTGTTTAAACAGTTCCACATTTTATTTAACCTTTGTAGAACTGCAGGGTGGCTGTTCTTTCATTATTCTCTCAACTCACCTAATGTATTTATGTGCCAAAATTATCTGCCTTCGGATGTCCTTTCAGTAATGAAGGGAATGAAGTGATATAGTAAACCTGAGGCTTAGAGAGACCATGTCATGGGAAACTAATATATCTATGTTGCTCCAAAGGAGTTTGACACCTTGGGAACATCGCATACATAGATAGCAGTTTGTACTCTATTGACATCCCATAAGCAGTTATGCCAGTTGTGCACGTAAAGAAATTACTTGCTTTTCTTTGTAAGTTGTTCATATACTGTCACATGCACAAAACACTGTTGCTCATCATCTGTTTGTCCTACTATTTTAAAGTTTGTTATATTTGAGGAAGGTTTTAAATAATTTTGTTGCTCTCAAGGCTCATAAAGAAGGGGAGGTGTAATGTGTTACATTTAACCTATTCTTTCTAGTTCTTATAACCAACATGAAGGACTTTGTGTAGGTTTATGACAAACATTGAAGATGTTTTCATTTCCACCTGATCTAGAATTGACCATGGATTAGTTCTTTCAGATATGTGAGACAGCGGATGGGAAGGAACAAGCTAAAATCATTTGGACCCCTTATGTGTCAGATGGCAATGCTAGTCAATATTCGCAATGGTAGCTTCTTCTTCAAGGCCTTAGGTATTACACTTCTGTTCATGGCTGGTTTCCCTGATGACCTTGTTCAGAGGGAGACCAAGTACCGGAACCTGGACCTGCTTCAAAAATATTATAGGTATTCATGCTCATCTGCCTCTGTGATACATATTTTCCATGGTTTATACTTTGAAGCAACGTTTTAAAAAATGAGCCGGAAACGGAACCGTTCTGGGCACCGGTTTCTGGGTCAACGGTCCAATCATCCGGTTCGAATGGATGGCCCGTTCTGACAGCAAAATTAAAAAATTAAATAAAAAAAATGGTCAAAAACCGTTGAATGGGTCGATGGGTCGACGGTTCGACCACCCGGGTCAATGGTTTGTTCTTTTTCAATGGTTTTTTACCAGATTCCGGGTTTTGGGTAAAACGGAACCGGTTGCCTGGACGGTTCCCGGGATGAACGGTCCGACCGTCCGGGTCAACGGAGGTTCGAAATGTTGCTTTGAAGCATTTAGTAGTTGCTTTTTCCCCAAGATTTCATCTAGGATATCTTGTAGTAAAACTGCAAAATGATGAGCTTTCTTATTGCAGGACAGATGAGGATGCTGAAGGGGAAGTTTTGTTCCATCCATATCCAGTGCTTTATGACACGGTAAGACTTTGATTTGGTTGGTCCACATACGGGTACTATTTAGATATTAACCCTTGCCCTTAATTTTTTGATGCTTCCATCAAGCTTCAAAATGTCTTGCATATTTGCCAAATTTCAGTTTATTCAACTTTAATGAGTGGAACCAAAACCAAGGACCATTGGTTTCACCCTGACATTAATCCAATGAAGATTTCCTTCTTCCACCTAGGGGTGTCAAATGGACTGGATTTGGTCCAATCTGATCCAGTCCAATGTGAGTCCATTACAAATGGACCAGGTCCAATCCAATCCAATGAATATTTTGGACCATTTTGGACTGGTCCAATTAAATGTCTGGAGCATCCTATCTGTCCAAAATTGTTTTAATTTAGATTAATTCTAACCCAAACCTGGTCCATTGACTCCTATATTCTTATCTTCTATCAATGGACCAGATATCGGCTCAATCCAACCCAATCCAATATAAATTCATTACAGCTAGACCAGTCCAATCTAATCTAATAAATACTTTGGACAATTAAGTCTGGACTGGTCCAATTCAATGTCTTGTTGGTCTGTCCAATCTGTCCAAATTGATTTTGGTTTGGATGGGGTCCAATCCAAAACCAGTTCATTGACACCCCTACTTCCACCCAAACAGGCAAAAGAATCACATTGATGACCAAATAAAATTTTAAGAGTATTTTATAAGGGTAATACATGAGTTCTACTCTGTAAGTTAACAGTTTTGAATCTTTCAATGCTTAACATAATTCATTAGAAGTTCCAATTCGTGGTGGGTAGACTGGATTTGGCCTTTCGTTCTCCAAGACCCAGATAGCTGGGACCAACATTGGGTAATGGCCCTTCTTTCTCCAATTTATGTCAGGGCATGAAACTGAAACTATCCAATGCAGAGGATCCTCAATCTGATGGATGGTATGGACTGGAAACAATCATGCCTTGGCTGGATAAAGCATAACATCAAGCTGGTTCTTAAATCATTTTTCTTAAAATGCTATCATCAAATTCAGCAAAATGTGAATATTTTCTTGTAGTTTTGTTTTGTTGAGAATCATGAAATGCCAAATATCGATGTATTGTCCTAGATGAGTTAGGTATTTGGTTGTCACTATTCTTTTACATGCTGTTATAAGAACTGTCCAAATATTTAAACAGTGAATAAAATCTGGTAATAAAGATTAAATCATTTCTTGGGTAGGTAAGCTAGGATTGAACCTGGTTGTTTATACTGTGTTACAGAAATCACAATCCAGCTAAATGGTGTGCCAAAGATAACAGATTCAACATTATATAGTTTTGGTTTATTTTCACAAAAGTTCCTTGATTAATAAGTAATCTTCTTTTTCTACAGCAGGCTGGTCTAAATCCACAACGGTTACCTGGGAAAGCAATTTCAAATAAATCAAGTGGCAAGAAGCAAACAGTGTTCACAAGCAAGCCACCAAATTTAACAAGATCCTCAATCCTACCATCTGTTCCTTCAAGTCCTGTACCTCCTACACAGTTTGGGCTTATGGGATATACCTCTATCCATGGTCAAGCAATGGCAGCATTCCAGTCTCTTCCATCTCATACTCTAACAGAAACTCCACCTATCTCAAACTCTGCCACAGCCGCTTCTAACATAAATATGCCCTACCCTACAGGGCAGACTCCAACTACATATCCCATGTTTGCACCACACCCAGGCAACACCTTTGTGCCAATAGCATATTGGCCTCATACAAACGCATTCCCTTCATGTCCTTACCCAGCTTCATATGGTTGCCGATCTTTTGCTCCATCAACAAATTACATTTCCCTTCATCCACATCCTTACTATGGACATCCTTCCTGTGGTCCTCTTGTGCCTAAAGTGGTTGAAGGAACTGGGAAGAAAGATGCAGCCCTGGAGGAAGCTGACAGTGATTCTGACAGCAGCTCAGTTGGTACAGAACCAAAAAGGGACTTGGCAAATTGTAAGTAATGAACAACCCTGTCTTATATGATCTGTTGTGTAGAACATTATGTATTTATGGCAATGAATTGCTTCTTAAGGAGGCAGCTACAAATTAGCATCTTTCTGTTTCTTCTAATGAATGTGTCATTTCTCATTAACATTTTGCTTATCACCTCATAGCCAAGCTATGGTTAACGGTTGCACATTCAGCATGTAGCCAATGCATCTGTGAATCCTATCTTATATGTTGAAGATTGAAATAACCATAAGATAGGATTCACATGTAGCCAATGCTTATCAGTAGCTTGCCTCAGATACATTAAGCTTATGTTTGTTTCCTGGCTAGGACAGTAGGACCTTATAATATACATATATCGTGCTTTTACAAGAGGAAAAAAATGCCTTCAGCATTACCTGTCGGGAACAAGGCAATGGCAGAGAATATCTCGTTCCCAACAGTCAAAAACTAGTCGCTTACAGGGGAGCTAAACATAGGGTGGGACGGATTATTTAGATGGTGGGATCAGGAGTTGAGGACCTCTGGCGTTTGATTGTCTGTAAAACCATCCAGAAACAGTAGTTAGTATTTGCAAAAGTTAGCAAGGAATGGAAGTACGTATTGAATTCACAGCCTAGCTATCAAATTGAAGCCACCAAAAGTTGTTCCTATGGATTAAAGCGTTAAACAACATCTGTACTGTTAATTTGAGTAGCGTGCAACTTAAATTGAGAGAAGCATGCCAGTAATTTTTTACATGGAATTAAAGTTGGATTAATGTAAGCATTAGTTAACCCTGAAAATCTCAAACAGCTCAAGTTGAGACCGTTCGACACTTGTCATTTCGACTTTTCAGTAATCAAATTCATAGAACAACGGCAACGGGACAATACCCACCCAGTTAAAGAGCATCTGTAGAGCAGTAGAGGTGTTCCCTTGTGGATGCCTGATCTCTTGTGGTGATTGATTTAGATATAACATTTCGATAGCAAGTTATAAATACATGCTCCGATCTCACGTCTCGTGTGATTAAAAGAAGCATGTGTGATCCTCTCCTACAGAAGCCTGAATATTGGTACCAATATTTGTATCATTTTTTCACTTGAAATCCCCACTCGAGTTTGGACTATGGAGTGTAAGTCCTTGTATTCTGTATTATTCTACATGTATCTGTACTGCACATATTTGAATTTGTAATCCTTCCAAGCTGAGCTTTAAGTATTTTGACAGTAAATTAATAGTTCCTAGATAGGGTGGGTCATGGATGGTCTTCATGAAATGCTGCACTCCCGTTGATCCAACATATTCATACGCGATCTCTACTTGTGCTGATAATTCCAATGAAAGCTCCTGTATACGAGTGCGATGAGTTCTATGGTGCGCTCTCTCTCTCTCTCTCACACCTCACACACACACATCTAGATCAAGGATCATGCACCCATCACTGTCATTTCTGTTCTATTTATCCCAATATTTTAAGGGTTATTTATTAGAACACTCCTATGGTTTCACAGATTTATTTAAACCTATCTTATAGTTTTTATTTTATTAAAACACCCCTATAGTTTGATTGTCATTTTTGTTCTATTTATCCCATTATTTTAAGAGTTATTTATTAGAACACTCCTATGGTTTCACAGATTTACTTAAACCTATCTTATAATTTTTATTTTACTAAAACACCCCTATAGTTTGATTAAGAATTATTTGTTTTTCTATCTAAATATAGTAACATCATCATTTAAATTAAGTAGAAAATGTTTAAGGTTTGTTTATTCTAAAAGTACCCCATTGTTGTTTATGAAATTTGACCAGTGATTGCTGATATGTTATTAAGGGCAAAAATGGATAGATTTTATAGAGGTGTTTTAGTAAATGACTTATTTTAATGGTACTTGCACCACCCATTTTGCCAAAAAAAAAAAAAAAGCGTCCTTAAATAAGTGCAAACGCTTCTTGTTTCAATCGCTTAAATCATGGAATCTCATACTCCACTTGATGTTTCTGATAACCTTTCTTTTATGGGCAAGGCCGAAAAGGGAAAATGGCAATATCATTCTCATTGGATTCCAAGCAGTAAATTGATTTCTTTTTTTTTTATAGATCATAGATGCAATAAATTGATGTTGAGGGAGAGAGACAGGGAGAGACTGCATTCATAAATTACCAACCACCATCAACTTTTTGTAATCTATGCATCATCATCATACACCATCACCACCACCCATACATACATCGTCCCATCAATCCCTATACCCATCACCACATCAACAGAATCCACCAAGTACAAAAGGGAGAAATACCTCACTAACAACAATGCATGCATGTGGTCACCACCATCATCACGCCACTGTGCATAGGGAAAGGTAATAAAAAAACAAGACCATTTTTATTCTACATTCCAACCACCTCTCGTTCTCTCGTCTCCCGAAGACATGAGAAAAGCTGGAGGCATCCATTTGCCATTGGTTGTAGCCAGGTTCCTAGTGGTGCTTGTTGGCTACACTACACTGCTTTCTGATTTCACCCTTTGTACCAGTGAGAGGGTTGTTCTCAGAGAGGATGGTAATGGCCCTGGCGAACTCCTTGAAGAAGTAGTCTTGGCTTTTGGCCATCTTCTTCACATAGGGCTTAGTCCTCTTGTCATTGGCTAGCTGGTGGTCCACTATCAGCAACCCTTTGTTGTCTAATATGTTCCTGTAGTAGTTGTTGTCCAGCTTCATGGGTGTCCCACGGTCGTTTCTCACGTACTGCACAGCCTTTGGATCCGGGATCGGATCCGGGCATTTCTTGAGCATGTGCTCCACATGATTCGAGTTGAATGCAGGGTCTACCTCCGGGTACAATCGGTGCACCAACTTGATACAGTGGGTTCGACCCACACTATGGGCTCCTGTTACAGAGCACAAATGTTAGTAAATATGCAGCTTCTAGCTAATCTTCTACTTCTATCCCACCAACTATCCTATAGATGGATGATGAGTGATAAATGCATGCTCTCATAAATTCAAAGCTATGCAGGTAGATCTATCGGTGGGGAAGATTTAGATGGAGAATTGATGTATGGTATGGGAACCTCATTTACATAATGCACAAACATGTCTCCATGTATGTATGATATTGGTGAGTTGTGGTAATTAAGAGATGGTGGAGTATATGTATATGTACCTAACAGGGCAACAACTCCAGGGGTATCAATGCCCATGGCTGCAAACCTGTCGAGAACCACAGAGATGCTCTCATTGTGGTCGGGGAGGTACTGCTCGATCACATCTGCACGGCTCCTCCTACCATCCCTTCTCCCTGTCTTTAGAGGGATATAAGGGCCACCAAGCTGAAACAAGAGCAAATAACATCACTACTCTGTTCAAACTTCATTGTTATGTGGAGATAATTAGTTTCTACAACCACCACCCTTCTAAGCCTTTGAATTTGAAAGGAAGAAAGGCGATGCGAAAGAGAATACATGCATCCAACTCCTTTAGTTATTAGAAAATAAACAGATCAAGACTCAAGTAAGCAAAAGAATTAATTCCAACTCAGGCGGTTGTTTTACAAATAAACAAAATTTTGAAAGAGCTTAGTGCACATCTGAAAGAAAACATGAAAAGAACTAAACAAATCAAGAAATTTTCATAACACCGAAAAAAAACCATAGTTCACAAGAAAAAAAAAAAAAAGAAACTGTCCAGGTTTAGATCTTTAGCCAGGCAACTCAGAAAAAAAAAAGGCCAGATCTATCACACTAAACAATCTATCACCTCAGCAGTAGGTATAAGAAGCAGCCACAGAAAAGAAAAACAAAAGGTGGCCAAGAAACAACTCACCGAAACTATGCCATCTCTTGCAGACAACACAAGGATATCTGCGCAAGAAACCACCCCGGGGCACTCCCTTTCCACAGCTTCTTTTATGGTATCAAGGTATCTGAAGTTCCTAAGCCCAAAGCTCCTGTCTGTTTCTTTCTCAGACAAGTCCCTCCTTGTAGAATCCAGTAGAAGTGAAGCATCGCATGACTACCCACAAGGAGAAAAGAGAAGATCAGAAAATTAAAGCAAAACCTGTCAAAAAGATTTCAATTCCAAAAGGCAGAAGGAAAGAAAACATTATATACCTGGACGGCACAGTCATGGAAAATGTTCCTCAGCCATGAGAATGCAGTGTTCTTGTGGCGCTTGTACAGAAGCTTAACTTGTTCTCTGATAATATCTTCAGCTTGAGGGCATGCGTCCTTGTAGAAGTTCATAACAAGGCCTGGGTCCTCTTCATTCTCTGCAAAAGTAGGCTTGATAGCCACAGCAGAGAAGGACAAGAGAGCAAAGAAGAAGAGAGCTTTGGAACCCATCACCCCCTTCTCCAAAGATGAGTGTTCTTGCTTTTGCTCCCTCTTCTTAGCCTCTTAAATAATGCAGATTGAGGAGAAGAGAAGGTAAATAAAAATCCAAGGAAAAGAAACAGATGGTAAGATTTGGGTTTTGATTCCGATGCTTGCTGCTTCCAATTGTCAGTTCATATCATTTACTGCTAACAACACACCTTGTGGATTCTAGTGGGTGAAGTCAAAGCAAGTTACACCGAAGAGATTAATTAATTGTTGGCTTGTGATGTGATGGAATAAGATAACCCGAGCCATCGTCTTGAGGCAGTAGTCGTGGACCCCGCCCAGAAGCGACTATTCTGGAATCCTTTCTCCTGGGAATTAGCAATTTGCAATAATGAAATAAGGTTTCATTACTCTTGCTCACACATGGCAGTGCATCGTACAGAAGACGATCGGATTGGTATTATCCCTTTGAATCGATATATGTTTGTTTTTTCCTAAGGCTCTCAGTTAGCCAGACGAGATCCAATGATCGTGCATATATCACGCCAACATGTTCAGCAACATTGCTTCTCTTTCTGTTCACAACTCGATCTCAGTGTTGGTGCAAAACTAGGACCAAAATTGATCTTTTATTCTTTAGAATTCGAGATCTGGCCGAGGTTGATGTCATATATAAAATTCATCCAGTATTCTAGCAAGATTTGCCTACTTGTAATAAAAGGACAAGGTGATTTGCCTTGTATCTGCTGCTTTCCAGGAAAGTTAAACAAATCATAAATGAATGAAACTCTGTTGATGTGAAGAGTACTGAAGAGCGTGCAGCTGTAAGTATACTTTTGCCAAAAACAAAGAACGCAATGTAGCTATGGAGTCCTGTTTCTACCCCACTTTCATTCATGGCAACTGAGATTTTCAGCTTCATAACCCTCTTTCACAAGGGCACCGCCGCACCGTCACCACCACTCTTGTGACTCTTGTCTTCAAAACTTTTTTAAGTATAAACAGTTAAAAAGGTGAAGTACTGAAGTTATTATGGCTACTTTTATTTGGTAAAAAAACAAACTAAGGCTATGTTTGATTTGAAGGAAAAGGTAAAGGTAGGGAAATTCATCCAAGTTTTGTAAAAGGTTTTTTTACCTTTCTCTTCTTTTCCCTACTTTTTCCTTCAAACCAAACACAGTTTAACTTTCAACAGTAAAAAGGCAGAAATAAGATTGAGGGCCATTTAGAATCCGAATTGAAATGGACATTTTGATTCCAACTATTTGATTGGACAGAATTAGAATCCCATTCCCATTTTATTCCCTCCTCTTGGGAATGAAAACCCATGTCTCTAATTTTGAAGGTTTCAATTCCAATTCGGATAGTGAACCAAACAAACCCAGGAACCTCAAAGATTTTCTAGGGTGAACTACATGTAAACATTCCGGGTACTTAAAACTGAGCCAAGAACTTACCAACAATTTTGTTGAGTCCTGCTTGGGACGACTCTAAATTTTCCTTAGGATGGAAGGGGCGCGTTCCAAACAACGATAGAAGAAGCAGTATGAAGAACACCTTTAGGTGGGACCTGTTCACGAGGAGTCCCCGTTCCCTGAGAATGAGACAAAATTGTGAAGTATTGATGTTGGGGCCATTTTAGTTTCAGTACAACTCTACGTGTTCCTCTTATCTTTTATCCAAGATCGATCTTCATTCCATTGAAGATATTGGACAAGGTTGGTTGGTGGGGGTTGCTTTAAGCTATTATTTTCACTCTTTCTTAAGTAGAATGCCTTTTGTTTTATAGCCATTGCCAATGTTCACTCTAAAATATATATACAGATATGGAAATTAAAAGCCAAACACCGGCATTATTGCGATGATGGGAGTGCAACTATGAATGAAAAGAGGTGGTCTTCTTTCATTGATTTTAGAGGAGAAAAATAAAATGGATCAAGGGGTTGCTTTCCTCCAGACTCCAGAGAGTTGAAAGAGAGTCTGGTCTAGTGTATTATTTAATTATTTAGTAGGACTAAGGAAGGGTGTCAAGAATCATCAATAATGAAAAGCGAGAAAACGAAACAAGACCAATAGCCAGTGGTGGACAATCATGAATGAAGAGCGCCTGTGTTAGTGATTTGTCTTTTTCTACCTTTAAATCCGAAAATGGGCTTTAACAGAAAATAAACCGAGCCACGGCCACCGACACTCTACCAAAATGTTCAGTGGATTTCTCTCTTTCACACTCCATTGCAATTTGGAGGAAGGGATCAGGATTTTCTTTTTTTTTTTTTTTTTTTTTTTGGGGGGGGGGGGGGGGGGTAGAAGGACCAGGAAATTGGGACACATGGACAGATATTTATATTTTATAATAGGATGTGTGTGTTTAGGTCAGTAGATAGTCACAACTCACAAGGGATCACATAGACAAATATTTATATTTTATAATAGGAGGCTCCCCTCCTCATGCATATTAATGATTTATATCTAACCAAGGTTACTCAACTACCTATGGTTAACAACAACCAGGTGGCCCTTCTTGATAAAATGACAAAATGGCCACGTGGGACCTTCTGCTTAGAGGTGGCACTGTTTTGCTACAATTCATGTAACAAGACAAGTAATTGAAACATGATGTATTGATATATTCATTTACTTTTGATGTGGGTTAGTTTGACCCAACCCACCGCGGGTTGGGAGGCCCAGCCCACTCATGCCTGACAGCATCAGCCACAATAGGAAGTAGACCTGCTGCTTCTGTATGGAGTCAATCACATGACGGTCAAACGTACCCATCAGAGCCTGTATCCTGATGTCGTACGGTTCTCATTTGGGGCGTTCATCTTCACCTATCCCCAGCACGCTCAAGTATAAATAAGAGGTAATTGCGCCTTAAAGGGGATCCGGAATAGAAAAACTCTAACACCACTCACTCATTTACTCTCTGCACCTACCTTGTCTTCTTAGCATTAATTCAGGGAGATCTGGTGCATCCAATGACTATCTCCAAGTCCTCTCCTGCACCTTCCCCTACTTTACACCTCGTACTAACTTGAGCGTCGGAGCCTCTGCCTCGGGTATTCACCCCGAGACCTCTAACATTCCCTGTCTTGCAGTATCTCTGGTCACCAGGGACTTCGCCTTGACTTGCAGTCTTCGGCTACCATAGTCCTCGAAAGGAATACTTCGCCTCGGCTTGCGGTCCCCGACTTCAACCAACCTTTTCCGAGGCCTCAGGGTCCTCAACCAACACTCGGAACCTGAAGGGTGAATTTACCTCGTTGCCCCCGGCCAATCTGTGCGGCAACACCTTTCAATCTAAAGAAATTGTTAATAACATTATTTTTATTTTTGTTTAATATGATGAATATATAATATTATAAATGTTACCGAATTTTTCTATAAACTTTTTGCAGCATGGGTTTATCCATTTGACTTAGACAATTGAACTTACATAAAAATGTTCCATCTTTGCATTGATTTTAAATTTTGTGTTTCATTTTCATTAGTAATAAAAAATAATTTTCATTTTCATGTCATTTATTTAATATGATAAGTATATAATATTAGATATGTGTACAGAACTTTTTACAAACTTCATGCATTTCTATAAATTTTTATATTTTTATATATTTTTTATTTTATTCTTTAATTATGACATCATGGATTAATCCATTTAACCTGGATGGTTGAATTATTGGAAAACAGTTTTGTCTCTAGGTCAGTTTTAAATTTTTATTTCATTTCTTTTATTAACAAAAACACTTGTTATTTATCATACTTATTTTTGTTCAATATGATGAATATTTTATATTAGAAATGTACTTGGTTTTTCTACATTTTTTGTATTTTTATATTTTTATATTTTTTAATTTTATTATTTAATTATGACACCATGGGCTTATCAATTTGACTTAAAAGGAAAAAAAAAACATTTTGTTTTTAGTTTGTTTTAAATCTTTTATTATATTTTCATCATTAATAAAAAAGATTCTTATTTATCACACTTAAGTTTTTTTATATGATGAATATATAATACTAGAGATGCAACCAATTTCCTTTATATGTGTGTGTGTGTGTGTGTATTTTAATTTTCTAAATTTTTTGTATTTCTATCTTTTATTTTAAATTCTATATTATTTAATTATGACACCATTGGTTGATCAATTTGATTCAAATGGTTGGACCACTTAGCTATCACCCAAATGGGAAAGCAACTTTGTTTTCAAGTTGGATTCGAATATAGACAAGGTAGAAAAAACATTTGAGTACATGCACAATTTATGTATTTTCTAAATTTTTTTTGTAATTTTCTAGTTTTTATTATTTAAATATGGCATAAGTTGAACCATCTAATATGGAAGTTCGGATTTCCCACCAATAAAACACGTTCCAACACCCTTTCAATATGATCTAACACCGCACATCACACTATGATTCTATGACAACTATAAAACCAGGACCTACCATATATGAGATGTGCGGTGTCACATTATGTTGAAAGGGTATTGGAACGTATTTTGTTGGCAAGAGATCTACACTCACAGGAAGGTTGAACTCTTGACCTACCACCTAAACATAAAAAAGGTTTTATTTTGGGATTGATTTTAAATTTTGTATTTCATTTCCATCATCAATAAAAAACAATTCTTATTTATCATACTTATTTTTTAATATAATCAATATTATAGATTTAATCAATAGAATTTAGGGTAAAAGACTTAAACCTCCCATGATATTTCATCTAAGTACTGAAACACCCCCTAAATTTTCAAATTGGACTTAGACCTCCCTTCTCTGGTGATATCAGTGGACAAAAACCTCCCACCCGTTAACTTTACATTCATATCTATTACACATGACATAATGTGCAAACTAACTTTTTTTAAAAAAATCTCAAAATTACCCTTATAGGATAAAAGGGCATTTACATCCATCATTATTTTTTAAATTTTATAGGAGGACAATATACTAGTTGCACACAAGCTCACTCATTTGTTTCTCTTGATATAGAATGGACCCAATTAATGAACAATCAATCCTCTGTGGCCTATTGCATCCCACCTTACAAGCCGAAGAAGGTGATATAAATGACTATCAAAATAG